ACTAGGCAGTACTGGCTGATGGACCTCAGACTATGCAATACCGACTGATGGACCTCAGACTATGCAATACCGACTGATGGACCTCAGACTAGGCAGTTCTGGCTGATGGACCTCAGATTATGCAGTACTGACTGATGACCTCAGACTAGGCAGTACTGACTGATGGACCTCAGACTATGCAATACCGACTGATGGACCTCAGACTATGCAATACCAACTGATGGACCTCAGACTAGGCAGTACTGGCTGATGGACCTCAGACTATGCAGTACCGACTGATGGACCTCAGACTATGCAATACCGACTGATGGACCTCAGACTAGGCAGTACTGACTGATGGACCTCAGACTAGGCAGTACTGACTGATGGACCTCAGACTATGCAGTACTGACTGATGGACCTCAGACTAGGCAGTACTGACTGATGACTTCAGACTATGCAGTACTGACTGATGACCTCAGACTAGGCAGTACTTGCTGATGGACCTCAGACTATGCAGTACTGGCTGATGGACCTCAGACTATGCAGTACTGACTGATGACTTCAGACTATGCAGTACTGACTGATGGACCTCAGACTATGCAATACTGACTGATGGACCTCAGACTATGCAATACTGACTGATGGACCTCAGACTATGCAGTACTGACTGATGACTTCAGACTATGCAGTACTGACTGATGGACCTCAGACTATGCAGTACTGACTGATGACTTCAGACTATGCAGTACTGATTGATGGACCTCAGACTAGGCAGTACTGGTTGATAGCCCTAAGACTAGGCAATACCGACTGATGGACCTAATATACTGAAAAACATGACATGTACTGTTAAAGTATAGTTGTTCAAACTATATTTGAAACAATTGATAAAACTGGATTAGTGTTTAGATAAGGTCACAATATTAATAAGATCAGTTATGTTTATTCATATATTCTGTGAAACCTTCTGGAACTTTGGAAAGATATATTTGCTAAGGACATTAATAATTGGTTATGGCCGCAATTAACTGAAACTGATGTGGATTGCTGTTTAATCATTAAACCAATGTTTGTGTCAAACAGTCGTATCATTCTACATTCAGTCCATTAGGACATTAGACCTGTTATAGATACTCAATAAATTTGTCATGCCCATTCACGTCTGTTTTCTGGAACATTTTATGGGGCTGTTATTATGGTGAGACTCACTGATATAGATTTATTCCAGCAGAGTAAATGGAAGTGCATGAATATCAAATATATAAATGATTGATTAGCCCAAACTACAACTAATATTAGATGCAGACCTTAGGTTGATTATCAGAAAGGATTTCCAGCCTGTTTCATACAGAAATGTTGGCATATCACTGGCCCAGGATATAAAAGTTTTGTTCTATTTTGGGGAAGAAATGTTGCTATATTTAAACACTATTGGGATTTCAGGTTAGAATAGGTCCCCAGCAACCAATGCTGGTTTGCAAGAGGTGACCAAATGGATTATGGCGTAGTGACTTGGTTGCTAGGGCGTCATTGTACCCCATAGACGTGGATCATTGCTCACAATATCAACACTGGATAATCACTGGATTGTCTGGTCAAGATTTGATACATTACAGGCCACTGGGATATAGCTAGACTATTGCTGAGTGCGCTGTTAACCAACAAACATTACGTCCGCCTGACAAGAAATAGATAGATTCATAGTTCCCTACCATATTGTTTGACCCCACTGATTACTACATCTACACTTGAAGTAATATATATATATGTATAATATCTGTGACATACTTGGTCAAGAGGTCGAAGGCCAAGATCCAGGTCATAGTGTGGAGTTGCGTCCCTTAATCATGCATGGATCTGCTTATCATGGTGTTAATCCCAGATTCACCTGGATGATGATCTTTTCAGCAGCATCTCTGGCTTTTCAAGTTGAACATGTTGAAATAGTTTATCTTTGTCGCTTTTTTTTTTTGCCTGCATTAAACTAACAAATATAAATGAAAGATTTAACAATATTAACAAGCAGTAGTATAACTTATAACCTTTTATCATTACTATATTACTTGAAGTGAAGATTAACATGCCTAAGTTCCATGCCCAAATGGCATCCTATTCTTATACCAACATCTCCCCAATTGCGTGGATCGATGCTCATGATTTCAATCTCTGGATTGTCGTGTCCAGACTCGATTATTTACAGACCGCTGTCATATAGCTGGAATATTGCTGAGTGTGGCGTAAAACAACAAACAAACATCTCCAAACATCCAGTCAGATTTATACCTCATCTGGACACTCGGAATATCGCTATCAAATGTTTAGTAGTATGTGATATCACGATATTAAACAACTTAACATACCTAAAACCTCTTGTATGTACTCAGATATGTCGTATAAAAATAAGATGTACATGCTTCAAAGTTAATGATTAAAATTGATTTCTGTCAACTGACCATTCCCTGAAAAATTTGAATCTAAAGTATCCTGATAAATGATCAGTAGAATCTAGTAGATTTTATGGTACATCAGTTAGGCAATGTGAATTGGATAATACTATGAGAATGATAGGACCCGTCGTCATCCCAATCTGCTCATAAATAGAGTTGATGTCTATCCTGGTCTTTGTGGGAAGAGTCGGAGGAACAGTGATGTATTTGTGTGGGCTGAGTGGGAGTTATGACGAACAAGTCTTTGGGAGTGAACTGGCCATTCCGGGACACCAGCTACACGTGACCAGGCAGAGTCAATTTACTATCGATAAGGGAATTGATCAGTTTCGTATAAGCACATTGTTCTATATTGATCTTGTGAGGTGTTGAACATAAAAATAAACTGTAGAATGAATTGCTAAGGTAGCTATTGTGTAATTTCATCTCTTACTTATGTATTACTGTAGTTGAGTAAGTTCAGAATTGCAGTTCCTTTGCTGCTGTTATCAGAGGTGTTGTTTGCTGTCAGTAGACAGGACAAAAACACTCAAAATATTTATTCCATAAAGTACATGGAATGTCTGATTCTTTTTGCTGTTATGTTTGACAGTATCATGGTTATTATAAGAAATATAATTAGGGAATTGTTGAGAGTGTGAAGAAACTGTTGATCTTTTTGAACTCTCCATTTCTGCATAACAGTTCATCATACAAAAGGTTAGAAATAATAATCAAATTGGTGTTTTGCATAATTCAGTGAAAACATTTGATATTGCTCACTATCCTTGAAGTAGATTTTTCACAAGCTGTATTTCAAATCAATTGACATCACTAACCACCTTTCTCCTACCAATGTCAAGGATACTTTATGAATGTGATACCACAAGTATGAATATCTTGAATCTCATTGAGTATTTTGTGATGTGGGCGGGCGGGGGCCTTGTCTTTTTGTGGGAAAATCTTTTACCCAGTTACCATGTTTCTGTCGTTAACGTTGTGTCGGATGCGTTCATGCAGCTGGGGTCCTGGTGAAAATGAGTTGATTTTCTCAGCGCTCACCTGAATAATTATAAACAAAGCAAACTGTTCAAACACGAACTGTCTACAAAGTTACAGGAATAGATATGCACTAGCTTCCTAGTACCATCTGTTGTTAAAGGTGTGCTAAGTTCTGGTTGAGTTTCAGGCTTCTTAGAGGGTGTCCTAAGATCTTATCACTATTTGGGCCAGAATATGTTTTAGGTTAATGCCTACTGTTGCTCTACATGGGGAAGAATGCTTTAGCAATTGGGTGAGAGGTAATATTCTCCCAGGAAATAGTACATGCAATTTTTATCATGTTATGTCCTAAAGTACCATTGTACTAATTTATAATAGATACTATTGGTGAAAGAGTTTTCAATGTAGAATGTAAATTCATAATGACAAGGATGACTTGTGATCAGAAACCTGTTTTCTATCATGATTATTCAAATCTTGGACCCCAAGGCACAACTGTAAACTGCAGTCTGTTTGACTTTTTGTGAAGTGATTAGGATTGACGAGGTGGTTGTTTTCATTGATTTTCTTGTTGTGAGGCAGGTGCTGGACCCCAGGTACCGTTATTTAACATTAGATGTTGAATAAGATCTTCACTGTGGCCTAATTTAGCCATGGATTTAATACGGATATAGAAGAGAGCGAGGTCTTTAGCTGGGCATCATTATGCAGACAGGAATAGAGTTGATTGTACAGCATGGAAGTCTGTAGTTGACATGTTTTGTACAGGAGCATTGTGCTATAGGATTACTGTTTTTAATAAGAGTCTTAGTGATGTACGAGTAAGTTCAGCTTTACCAATTGTCACATCAGGGATGACATTTCTGTGAAAAATATTTTAAGTATCTTTTCAGGATTTGGTTTTATCAAAGGAGGATAATGAAGGAAAGAAGCTTACTTGTCAGCTGAAGGTCAGGGCTTGTGTTGAGGGCAGAGCATGTAGCTTCACCCTTCAGACATGTACGAGGGATTGGAAGATTATGAACATGATGAAAAAGAATTTTTTATAAAAGTCCACATAAATGTTTGTGTGGGTTTATGTCCTTACTTTAGCCATAATATATGTTAATAAGTTTAAAACAGTTTGCTTGTTTAAGTATTAAGAATTATTCATGAGTCAAGAACCCATCCTGGCTATAAGTCCCTCGTGTTCACTGTAATTGAACATGAAAAATCTGGACATAGTGTCTTAATACTACCCATAGGAAGTGAAAATTCAGATGCTGAAGCAGCATGCTCTTCAACATGTAATACCTTGTGTTAATAATAAATGAAGCCTAGAGTAAGCTGTTAATTAGGCTCCACTGTGAGCAAGGTTGCAGGTGTGATTTCCCATTTCTGCAAGGCAGTAACACAAAAGACTATTACTTATGGTAAATGCAGTGTTTGATGAACACAATATCCACTGATTAAAGCCTAGGGGAGTGCGAGATGTCAATTAGGTCAGGAGTTACCTCCCTTGTTTCTCCAGCCATCTCTGATACACATGGATCAATATCTGGTATAGATTCAACCAGTTTCTGCCAAGCCTCCCTACATTCTATGAATATTGAATGCAACCTCAGCCTCATTGTAATGGCGGCCATGTTTAATTAACTGACATTGGTGCGTTGGTGGAAGTCAGGTTTTCAGCCATTTGTGACAGATCGACATCCAGTGCTACAGACTGAAGGATTCTAACATATTTCACCTACTCTAACATATTTCAGAGGTGCCAAACTAAAGAGGAAAGCAAGCTTAAAGGTATGGACATAATTTATTCCTGACTATAGCCAGGAGGGAGATATATATGATGTGTTTGCTGTATTGCCATATGTCTGTATATTATTTGGCATGGTGGCAATGTGTCTAGATCTTGTATATGTATTAAATATGGCACTGAAGTAAGTCTGAATGTTCAGTCACTATTATAATATGATTGTGTTATAGGTATGTTTCAAAGTGATACTTGATTCAAGAATTTCAAATATGTAGACAAGGTGATTGAAAGTAAGTAGTTATTAAAAATGAAATATGACATTTGATTCAGTATGTAGTATGTATAGAATATGCTTTGACATTTTTGGTCATGTATGTACAAGTTGTTTTCTAGACCCATGGTTTTAGTTAATAAATACATGTAATTGAGCAACAAATTGAGTGTTAAATGTTCTCTGAAATTGATACTTAATGTTATATCTGTGGAAAGTCACTGTCAAATGGGGGCAGTGGGGTAGCCAAGTGGTTAAAGCATATGCTTGTCCCACCGAAAGGCTGGGTTTGATTCCCGACATGGGTACAATGTGTAAAGCCCATTTGGGTAGTCTCCGGCCATGATATTGCTGAAAGCGACAAGAAAACAACATTCACTACCCACTCACTCATTCACTACTGCCAAATAAACACTAAGATATTCCAGAATTGGCTCCTGGTTCCTTCTGCTTGTTTGAGGAGCTAACCTTAGGATCACAGGGTTATTATGTGTATCCTGGCTGCCTTTGTGTCATCATAAATATCATCGAGTCCTAAATACCCTCAAAATAGACCCCGAACCCTGTGTACCCAAAGGGTATTGTCAGCCTCAGTAAAGAAACTATGAAACCATAGTACCATGAATGTTTGAGTGAATGCGTTTGGTACAATGCTACTTTGAACAGTATTTCAGTTATGTCATGGTGTGTCAGCTTGATGTGTAAAGAAAAGCCTAAAGTGATGCAGGTCTTATATGTTTATATGTGTTTGGGTGAAACCCACAGACTGGGAATAGTGGATGACAAACGTAGAAACAAACTCGCGGAAAGTCTGGGATGACTAGGGGACTCAGCTATGGTGAATGTGAGGGGACCTGAGAATGTATATAGGCCTTAAAAAATATTTATCATGACACCAGAAGTAGTGTGAAAAACACTACACAGAACTGCTGTGATGAGTTGACTCACCAAAGTTGTGAGAAAAGGTGCGGTAAACAAGCTAGTATGGAATTTCCTTTTACTAGCTTGTCTTATGATGAGTAAACTGTAAGTTTGACAGGATGTTCCTATAGTTTTACCAGCATCATACAACCAATATCGTGTAACCAGAGAAGTGGATGGCTTGAAGCAAAGATCCAGGACACAGTTCAGGTTTAAACATATTTTATTCACAAAGCGAAATTATAATAGAAAAACCTCTATAAGAATTTACAAAATATAACTTACATAGTTAGAAATGTTGATTGAAATAGATAAGGGATGGGAAAGGACAGACAAGATGTATGTATGATATAGTGTAAAGCGGGGACCATCTACCACTTTCACATTTATCTTCTGTGGTGCCAAGTTGGAAAACATGTTCACTGTGAGGACACTGTTTATTCCATCTGGATTTTGTTAGGTACAGGAGTTCTACATAACATATTACTACACTGAAGGAGTATTTAACCTTTATACAATATATAAGCCCTAGATTATAACATGGGATTACCTCAGATTATTGCAAGTAATTGAGGTGAAGTTATTTTACAGTGAACATCAAATTATGATGTGTGCAATTAGCACAACAGGTGTTCTGAAAATAATACAAGTTATTGTATTTTTCAATTTCTGATTACAATGTGAAAAGGAAAAACAAACTCATGAAAGGATTGTTTTTTTGTCCATAATCCACTTCACATGAGAAAACGTTCTAGATAAGAAAACAATGCCTGTCGTCTGATCCCATATGTTGGCTTGACCAAGGTATTGACTCTGAGAAACTATTTCCCATGAGAAAGTCTTGATGAGCCGGTTGTGAACATGTCTGCACTTCAAAGTGGAACATTTTACATCATCTATCAATTAACACTAAAACCTCTATAATCACACATGTTGGACTGTAAAGTCTGTATCTGGAACTGTCCCTACACCAAGTAATGACTTTGCTTCTCTGAGGGGACAGAAATATGGTTTCAGCTGGTTGAGATATGTGACTACTTGTCATGGTCAGCTATCAGAGAGTACGTGTTTTTCTAAACTTGTCAGATCGTTGATTTATTCGTAAAATGGTTCGAGATTACTCAAGGAAGATTATTCAATATCTATTTCAAGAGTGTATTAGTTAAAGAGTATGTTGTACCTCATGTCTCTTACATATGTTATTGAAGGTCCACTGATTATTTTTCTACAGGAGCATCTACTGCTTATGCTGTTCCAGGTGTTTTACATGGATACTGTCTGCTCTTGATGTGCAGGTGCCCCTTGTTTAATACTCTACATGGGCACCTTTTAACTGCTCTTGATGTGCAGGACCTCCCCCGTCTCAGTACTCAACAGCAGCGATAGAAACTGACAGTTTCAGTCAACAAATCTGTATAATGATATATATATATATTTAATGATAATGCATTTATAACTACATTAAGTTAGTTTTAAATAAAAAGTGTAAGCTAGAGCACTCATTGCATCCAGATTATGCACCAAGGATACTGGGAAATACCTCTCTTTTTTTAAGCTTTGCATAAAAAATGTGTTGATTCTTTCGACTTCAATAATATGACAGTAACCTCCCCAGAACTATTTTCGTAGCTGTAACATGTGATTTTATTGGATAGAAATTGGTTTCTAATGACGCTTTCTTGTCGAAATCTGCTACAAGGATCGTGATTTGTCAAATTCAAGCACATCACGTAAGGCAGCCAATCAAATTAATGGATACCGTCCTTGTATAGGATACATTCAGAATAAGACAAAATATTTGGGTTAAATCGTGTTAAATGATCTCTCATGCATATATTTTGCCGAGCCTAGAAATTGAGGTGATGAAAGCCGAGATGTAATTTGACTTACAATACACCCATTCGCACAAAAAGATTGAAATAATAAGCTTGGGTGTAAGTTTGATAACTTTCAGATATATTTTTGTTCATTTTATTTAGTACTTTATATAATTTATTTAAAGATTTGCATTAAACGTTGTTGTTTTTACTCTTTGATATGTTCGATACGGACCAGTTGTTAAGCATGTGTCTGGGATTATTATTTTTCAATTGATAAAAGATAATAAACTGAAATATATATACGTACTTCAGTGCCAATTTCTAACACTGAACAGGGTCTTTTCTTATGTGCAGGTACCACCTTTTTAGTTCTCAAAAAGGTCACCTTCAGCTCTTCACTCCATGAAGATTCTGGGTTTGAATTAGTATCAACTTTTGCTTCTCACAAGAGGCGCCTTTATGAATTGAGTACGCTGATTTGACTTATTGCATATCATCTTGCCCAAACAGTATGGATCATTGCTCCCAATATCAATCACTGTTTTGTCTCGTTAAGACTTGACTAATGGGTCACCTGCCAGTCTTCATGTCCCCAGATCTGCCCTCTACAGGGTCATTCCTAGCCTCCTTATACATAGGATGTCAGAGTTCAGTATGTCACATGTGTGTAGGACAAGTTTTCCATATCAGATGACATCATATGAAATTCCTATATCATGGAGACATCATGTCATGTATATGTAATGACATAATTCAGTCGTCACTGATTTTGTAATAACTGCATATTCTGCAAATCTGCAGGTTCTGTTAACTGTAGTTATTTGTTGACTTCAAAAATTATTTGTGTGTTTGTGCTTGCAGAGGTAAATTGTCAAAATTTGGGATGTCCCATGTTTGAAACTATACATGGAAAGGATCAAAGTAAGGCTTAGATATATTCAAGATATGTTTAGTTCATGTGTTTCATTAGTGTTTGTATGTAAAAGTACCTTCAGGTTCTTATGTACTAATCCCCCGCTGAGTTATGACAGCTGAAGGTAACAATTACAATGTAGGCTGCACCTACTCTTCTCATAACCCCAACCCTCCCACATTAGTCGGTGCTATCATATCCTTGACGCCATTTGAGGTCCTACCTGTGCTGAACTCACTCCTGTATCCTCCAATGTAACAAAGGGCTCAGAAAGCGAATCAAAACATTGACTTTTGTGCCGAGGTACAGTATGTCCCAATGAAGTGACTTCAGTTCAGGTGCCAACTGTCTGTCAATGTAACTACATGCCTTTTACCTTCTCAATATGGAAAGACAATTGTGATAGACACTTTGACATGCTATTATGGCTGTTCAAGACCAAATCCCTGCATGAATAGGTTAATATAATGAAACTTTCTATCATGAATGAATACAGTATATTTAAGTTTTATTCCTTCTATTACTGGATAAAATGTAACTTTGATTTCTCCAGTGCAGTCATGAATGGTTAAGACCACAAGTGATGTGTGTCATGATGAGTCATTGGTGTTAGACAATAGCCTCCCAACAAGAGGAGGTCAATCATTTTTTTTCATGGCACGCATGACTAGAGAGGTTTTTGGTGACTGAATTACAACAGGAGTGTGTTCAGTATTGGGATATTTTTTAGGTGCTCTGAATTCATTTTTCAAATGTGTTTTATAGTGACTTAACTTGTTACTTCTGTTTTGTTGATGTTAATCTTGCACATAATCTTGACAGAAAAGGTTAAGAGCGATCCGTTGTTGGCACTACATAAGAATTATGACCTGATAAAATTAACATAGCGGAAGACATCAACACAGTCCTACAAGCTAAGCATTTTTGATAAACGCTCACTTTACTTTAAATGAAAAATCAATGGTTAAGTTCTTCATGGATGATAAATTGTCCGAGTTCTGACGTTTAAAACCACATTAATCTGGCATACAGGCTTAGTGTTATCTTTCTATGTGTCTACAAGATGAAAAGCTGGCGCTGTTTGGGGCAACAGCTGGTGAACTTATATACAGCAACTCT